GCATCTTGTGTATGATAAATACCTAAATCACCCTATTCAGAAGCTGTATGATATCCGAGACCCAAAATGCGCAGAGATGGAACTACTTCTGCATGAGAGTTGTCAACGATTGGTCAGGACTATCAGAGAGTACAGTGAGCGCACCCACCATTAATGCCTTCAACAACAGACTGGACACGGAATAGGAATTCTCCAAACCATACGGTGCTTTCGACCAAGAAACTCTATACTGCGAATGTTCACAAACAGATGATAAGCGACAAGCCCTGCGTAACGAATTTCATATCGCAAAAAATGTATTCGACCTACTTCTACGCAAAATGGAGAAACAGCATAGACGAATGATATTGAAATGCTGAACACAAATAACCCAAATGAATTTTGGCATAAGATTAAACAACTTGGCCCCCAGAAGTCCCGACGAATCCCGATGGAAATTATCTCTGACACTGACTGTATTATTCGCGACGAGGCGGGTGTACTTGACAGGTGGAAAGATGATTTTCAAAAATTATACAACGCCGAAGACAGTGTTCTGTTCGATAAACTTCACTATGATATTATTTTATTCCAAAAGAACGCTATCGAAGGTTATATGGACAGCGAAAGCTGCAATTCAAATACTCAAATCAACTGAGATATCTCTTTTAGTGAAACCACATCTGTTATTTCTAGATCAAGGAATAAATCGGCTGTTGGTATTGACTGCATACTATACGAGATTCTTTAACTGATCCAACCACCATCCATTTGGCGTAAGTCTGTTTAGTTCCAATACGAAAATACCCATCGGCAGATCCGAGAATTCCACTAAACTACAGAGCTATCAGTCTTCTGTCGTGTATATCTAAGCTTTATAGCAGTTTTATAAATACCAGGCTCTCTGAATATCTCGGTGCTGATAATCTTCTAGCCGACGAACAGAGTGGTTTCAGAAAATCTAGCTCATGTGACGATCACATTTTTGTTCTAAACAGTGTCGTGCTTAACAACAACAATGTTTTCGCTGCTTTCATTGGTCTTAAAAAGTCCTTTGATTACGTAAGTCGGATATATTATTATATAAACTTCTTAAAAATATTGATGGTAAGATGTATAACTCGGTCAAAAGCATGTACTTGAATACATCGCCATGTATAAAACTTGACAACTTATCCGAGTGGTTTTAATTTAATTGCAAATTAGGAGTTCGTCATGGCGATAATCCCTCGCCAAATTTATTCTCTATCTTCATCAACGACTTAGTAAAGCAAATCAGCTTGTGTAATATTGGCATTAAAGTATCCCATTATAAGTTAGCGATATTACTCTACGCAGATGGCATAGTGCTTCTCGAGGATAACGAAAAGAGCCTACAGCTATTGCTTGACAAGATCAACGAATGGTGCATGAGATGGAAAGTCCTCATCAACACATCAAAATCCAAATGCATTCACTTCAGTCCGTCCAGACAAACAAGAAATGGCTTTAAATTTAATCTTGGTCTGGAAGAAATCGATACTGTTGAAAGTTACAAGTATTTGGGTGTTATTTTTCAAGAACACTCTAAGTTTGATAACACAGCCAATACTCTAAGCACTGCTGCTGGGCGAGCATTTGGTTCAGTTATATCAAAATTTTAAAACCTTTACGAAATGCCTTGCACACAAAGAAGATGGATTAAAATGGTTCAACTCTGGAATAGACTTTTAAGTCTAGACGACGATAGACTGACAAAGAAAGTGTTTGAAAAAGATTTCCGCTGTGCTACCTCTAATAAAAACTGGTGTGCTGATATGAAAGTCTTATTCGAGAAACTCAATCTCTCCGAATACTATTATATACCAATAAACTGACGATAAATATCAATGTAATAAAATCAAAGATGTGGACAAATGTAGCGAGTCATGACAGGTCAAATTAAGCAACTCCCCCAAACTCAGAACCTATGCTGTCTTTTAAAATGAGTTTAAAACCGAGAATTACCTAGTCCTTAATCTGCCCAGACATGAACGGTCAACTCTGGCGCAGGTTAGATGCGGGGTTTAACCCGTTCGTGTTGAGACAGGGCGGTCTATAGGTGAGAGGTTAGAAGATCGAACCTGATAAATGTGTGCACATAACTGTAAAGAAAATGAAAAACATTTTATTTTAAACTGTTCCTTATATAGCGATCTGCGACAATACTGGTTTAATAAAGCTCGAATAGACATTGTAATTATTGTAAATACTCAACTTACTGACCATTCGTATGAATTCTTATTATATTAGACTTAATTTGTGTATGTTAAATAGTGACATATACGTCCGGTGGGCCGGGTGTTAGTATTTTATATTGATTTTCACATGTCTTCTTTGTACAACACATGTCACTGAAATAAACAACTTTACTACTATCAAAGGAAATAAAATGAAATGGGGTTTAACGTCCTACTAGCTATTAAAGGGGGCAAGTCGCGAACTCAGTGCCATTCACAGTCTTCGACATTGCAAACATGACTTATTGGTCAATGTAAATCAACATTGATGTTGTTAACTTACCGTGAAAAGATGGGCTTCTGATATCCAATATTTAAGACAAAACGAAAATGTTAAAATTGTCACACGAATCGCGGACCAGAATGCTTTCGAGCGGCATTTTTAATGAAGCGACTCGGTTTGTTAACTTGATAAGTTGATTTCACGGTATACTCGGTGAAAAGGCATAGATCTACTAACTCTCCGCAAGACCAGGCTCTTTGTTACCTATTTAGGGTGTTTTCAGGTATTTGGTGTGTTTTCTGGTATTTAGTGGTTTTCCGGTGTTTTCCGGTATTCAGTATAACATGGAGTTTTCCGGTAGTTTTCCGGTGTTTTCAGGCATTTTCTGGTTGTTTTGCGGTATTTCCCGGTATATTTGTATTGCCGCCCGTGGAAGCTTCTTGGCTCAGAAGACTTGAAAAGATATTTGCCAAATTAAATTAAAGAAGAGTCGGCAAAACTGTTGGGGGTGTGGGGCAATTGAGGGCAGGTCTGGGTATTTGTGCCTATTTTTCCAGTCACCAGTCTCCTTATAGCTAATTGGCAAACAGGCAACTTAGAAAAGGTGAAAAGCTAAACTTATGCATGCATTAAAATACATGTACTTATAATGGTCATATGTAATTCCAAAGTCAATAATAACGGGTAAACAGGCGTGGGGTGGGGGTGTAACATCAGCACAAGCTAGGTCTTTTTCTCGGTAATATTTTATTTCAGTAAATCGCTAAGAGAAAATCCTGTGTCAAAGTTTAAATAAAATACTCCCAAGTGTTATATATCTAAAATTAAATTCCATGAGAAGAAAATAAGTGATATAATTTTAATTATATCGATAAATTCCAATATTTCCCGGTAAAATACTGGAATTTATCAATTATTGTCGATTGCATTACCATCGGTCCATGGGAGAAAACTCTTCCGCACTTCTAAATGGATGCAGACCACAGAATATTTGCCTTTTGATTATAATATAGTTTTTACTTGTTTTTTTTTGCCCGGCTCCAACTATTCCCAAAAGAATATGTTGGGGTAAACTATCTCCACCACAGACGAAACAGCATCTGACAATGTCTTGTTTTAAAGCTTGTACGCGATTGGCCGTGAACATTTTGAGATATGCAAATTTGAAGTTTCATAAAATATATAGAAGGAAATACATTCGTGGGCCGAAATGGGGGAAGGAAGTAATTGTTTGTCCTACAAGTGTAAAGCGATGTTTAGTATATGATAATATTGCGCCGTTAATAACTCAATAAACAGTTGTTGAATGTAATAGTAATCATATCTGTAAGTTATAAATTAATTTTATTGTTTTATCTGTAGGCGTAACCGCGATAGGGGCAAGAAAGAAAAGAAGTTGAAATTTTCGTTTACATGATAACACACTGGTGTACGATTTAAAGACGTATTGACAGTGAAGTAGTGTATTGTGAGTAGTATAGTTTATTTTGGACTTTTGTATCCAATAATATGTTCAGTCTTGTTGGTGTCGGGACTAGTTTGCAACAAGATGGTGACACTTTACATTGAACTTAAACCATTTATAATAATATTGGATTGTTTTGAGTCACTTTCCATAAATTCCACTTTCTTCTCTAACTCACACATTTTCTTCTGTCTTTCTTCACTTGGTTCCTGGCTTCAAATAGATATTTTATTTCGTTAGTCAACAATGCGATTTGCAACATCTACATATGATTTCTTACCACCTTTAGGGGGACCAGGGTTACTTTCAATATCTCCACATTCCAATAAACAATCAGAATTACCTCCGTCAATTCGATAAATTAAGCTTTATTATCAGAGCTCCACAAACGTGCATCAATCACCCCCGCCATCTTGAAGATAATCAGCTTACCTTTGCGTTTCAACATCCGCAAACAAATAAACACTGAGATCTATCATAGTATCCACAAGTTATATTTTTGATTTGGCTATTGTGATATTAATATGTTCATTAATAATGGACAGTTGTTGTTTGGTACCTATTAATATGAATTCCGTTATTTAATTTGGACATAGGATTATTCTTTGTAAAACCTGGATTCTTTTGTGTGCACAATTCAATATTACTGAAAATGTCTTTGTAGTCTGAACAGTGAATTTAAAGTGCCATGTGAGTAGTAATTGTATAAAGCAAATTGAAATTTGCAAAATATTAGCAAAGCGAACCGTGTACAATAAGAAAACAAATATGAAATAAGTCAAAATCATTGGATATCCCAAACATGGATTTAGTTGTTATTTTCATGTAACAACTACCACGGTCATTTTATCTGCAAGGCTACCACTTGTAACTTCTTTTGTCTTTCATGATGGACACACTCTTCCTCTGACTTACCCCTGTATCTACCCCATTCGTAGTCGTTAGTGTGCACCTAAATGAACATTAGATCCCTCGGTGCAGAAAAGTAGGACGCTAAATCCTGGTTCATTTCATTTATAATCATAATCCCCCCTTTTTGTAAAATTTATCAATTAAACAACAATAATTTCATCAATGATTTTAATAACATATCCTTTATTTAAACAATATTCAGAGAACACAACCATAAATTACAAATTATTGACGACTCATTCACTTTGTTTGATTAGAATAGTAACATTTTAAAATATTATGTTTAGACGAACGCCCACCGCATCCGGATTATGTGTGTTAGGGCATTGGTTGCTATTGTGAAAATTCATATATAACTTGATATCTTTTATTGTTGCGAATATACCATAATTGTTTGTGTTTGGAGATAATATCACCGATGTTTGAACTGAAACTCGAAGTGATGGTTTCTCGAATATTAAAACAACAAATGGCGGTAATAAATTAGAAGCCGGCATTTTTCAAAATTTAATTATTTTACTTATGCATTATGTACAAGACAAAATTTATTTTTGTTTCCTATAAACAAAATCAAACGAACCTTGATATAATGCATATTGCAATAAACCTTTTGACAGAAGAAAAGCTATTGGAGTACAGATCTCCCATTTAGAAAATTTGTCCTGTATTGATTTGGTATCGTTCAGCAGTAAATATTCGGTATAATGAACCCTAACTAAATCAAATGGACCCATTAAAAGTTGGTATTTTGGCTCTGGTCAAAAGTATTATTACACTTAAATCTAGGAAACGTCACACTTTAAACTTAATTGGGTTTGGATTTGCTGTATTCAGATACTGAGCGAAATGTACAAACATTTATCATGAACATGACTTGATCGTCTGATGATATTCTTCCATGTCCACTTTGATATCAAGTTGCACAAATCTGGAAAAAAAAAAAACCCTTTTTTTCTTTTATGATTACTCTCAATGGATGACAGGAAAATAAATATGTTGTCACGTCCGCATAATTGTAATATACGCTTCAAAAAAAGGAGGGGATATTCAGAAACAATACAAAACTGCGGAAATGCGCTGCTGTTTTATTAGAGGTAACAGGTGTATATTAATAACAGGCCAATTGCCTACACATGAACATAAACAGTTCATATGGGTGGCTTATTTGACGGACCCATTTCACTCGCAAAGAGATACACTGTCAAAAGTGAAAATGGACGTTTTTGATTTTTGTCTTAATAATGAGTAATTGCTCCACCAATCCTTAGACATTCAGCAATTCGTCGTGGCATGCTCCTAATCAACCGTCCAATCACGATTTGGGGCAATCTGACCCACTCCTCTTGCAGTGCCACGGCCAATTCTTGCAGAATTGTTGGTTAACGTTGACGTCGACGAACACCCCTCCCGAAAAAAATAAACGTAACACACTAAAGCAAAGATACGCTAATCAGTAACGTCCACAGGACTTTACTTAAAGAGATCAAGGGCCATAACTCTGGCAGTAATTATCGGAAACAGTTGAAAATAATCTTCTTCATCTCATGACAGTAAACACTGTGCATCAATTTCAAGTCAAATCGATGATATCTTATGTGTCCGTGCACACAAAGTGTTCATTATCTGAAATCGTAGGCAATCAATAGACTTCTTCGTCGCATGAAATGGAACACTGTGTATAAATTCGGATATTAACTTTATCCTCTAGAGCGTCCACAAGATGTTTTCAATGTGATCAAAAAAAATAACTTGGAGTAATTATCGGAAATCCTTGAACAGGCTTCTTCGTCTCATAACCTTTAAAACTATATTTAATGTATGTATTACCTTAAACCCTACAGACAAACTGCTGGAAGAATCTGAATCGACCATAGTCAATTTTTGTTCTGGTGTAAGAAGTTGCTCTCTGGAGTGTTCCCCGAACCCGAGCTACCGGAAGCCCATGACGAGGACAGACGCAGTTTATCTAGATTAAATAAACAAAATATCCATTAAATTCCAAATATTTTCAATCAATACTTCAACTGTATTAAATGGTTTGTTAATGACAGTCAGTTATATAGAGGGATAACTCGTGTTTTCCTTTTGCGTTCGTCACTTCCAATTGTTGAAACATTGATTACGCATCTATCGTAGCAATGATCTCTATGATAAAATAATATTTGGAATATCACATATGTGATAATGACTGACACCAATATTGTCCTTTAATAGTAAGTGCAGGGGGACTGCACCACACAAAATTTAAACAAAAACAAATACACGGACAGGACATCATACTCAGGAAAACACAAAGGTTGAACATTAAACATGAATAAATAGGCATAACATGAAAGTGTTTATTCATACCCTGAAATAATTTCTTAATGCGAAGTCTGGTGAATTTTCCTCCATTTCTTCAGCAACCTGTGTAGGCTCATCTAAATTACATTTAGGATAAGTTGCGACCGGTCGACATAAATATTGTCTAAAAATAACAAAAAGAGTATTTATAATGGTACAAGACATCTTTGACACGCGTAAAAAAATTAAATTGTCGATTTCATTAGTTTTAATGTGTTTAATAAAGTAGGAATAGGTTTGTTTAACCGTGTCCAGATTCTACACTTTATTTTGGACTAAATCAAATTGGAGTTCTCCCTATAAATTTAAGTCAAGTGGGTCTATTGCCTATATGGTATGGTGTGGGTTTGTTACCGCCCTTGAATCGGAATCATAATACTGAGAGAGAGAGAGAGAGAGAGAGAGAGAGAGAGAGAGAGAGAGAGAGAGTGAGTTTGACGTCCACTCGACACAAACTCGGTCATTTCGGGACTAACATATGGTTCCATTTTTTTTTATTTCAATAATTCGCTTGCGCGTAGGGGTCTTTAGTAGCAGTAGGAGGAAACCGGAGGACCCGGAGAAAACCCACGAGGTTGGACAGGCCACTCAATGACAGACCGCGTGCTAACCATTCGGCCATCCAACCCCCCTCCCCCCATAATACTGAGTTTGAGTCTTTAAATGTTAGGTTTTCCAAATAAGCTACGTCTATAATATACATATACGCGTATACAATTTTATTAAACTATTCAAATGCCACTCTTTCTTGATTCCAATTCATATTTAGGAACACGCGTTGCAAACTCTTTTTTCTTGTAGGCACAATCTATAAACTGATTCCCTACAACGAATCCCTATTCAAGGGAAATAAAAGTCAGCTGGATGATCGAGTTTAGGAGAATATTATATTAGTCATAAGACCAAATTATGACTATAAATTTGAAAGACTAATTCGTTATAGACTAACGAGAGTTAACTCCGATTAAGAGTTAAGGGAAATAACTCTGCCACAAATATCAAACCACGCAAAGATTAATATGACTCTCACATCAGCTAATGCAATTCATTGTCCGTATTCAATTTCATGCTGAATTTTTGCTTGGTTTGCATGACCCTCGTTTTCTCCACAGGCCCCTTATTCCCTGCGAATCTACTGTGGACAGCTTGACATCGTGGATAACGAGGTTGGGAAACACTGCTGTGTGTCTTATGTACTTGGTACTTTAATCTATACATTCTTAATTAATAATAAGTTCCTTACTTATGAATGGGGCTAGAATGAAGCATGTGTGCATCATTTACAGGGCAGACTTCTACGGATTCCCTGGAACATCGACAATTATAGATGACTCTGTTCATGGTGTTGGTGACGTCATTACGTGTCTGCTGATAGTTAAATGCATCAGCGCAAACAGCTCTTGGTGGACAAATAGTTCCAGTTCCTGGTCGCTGAATGATAATAAAAAATATGTATAAATAAAGAAACAATTCCCACATGGAGAAATAGGTGATATGTATAACGAACCTCTGAACAGAATGCGGGAAGGGATGTTATGAATATTAACGGGGCTGGTAGCCTAGTCACCTGTCATCTGAACATGACCGGATTAAGCTTGTGTGGGGCCTGCGTGGAAAATGTCACTGATGCCCTTGCATCAACAGTTAAATGGGTGTCATATTCTCGTCATTAACCGTCACACTTACATAAATGAAATTTATGTCAGTATGGTAGATAGAAAGACTTATTGGGCTCAAACGTATACAACATAATAAATGAAATCATCAATCGTTTATTTTAGAACTAATTTAGGGGCCCTGTCTGCACCCCCCCCCTCGCCCGCCTTAATCTGAACCCGCATCTGAACAGGGAAGGGAATTTCCGCGTTTGAACGTTGAAAGGGATAGAACATCATGATCGATCCTGAGTGAAATAGTTAAAAATACCGGGTTTGGTGGTAGGTCCTGCAATCCCACGCGTTACGTGCTAACCGTGTCGATTTGATGCCAACTATTTGCTAAATCTATTTTGAAGATGAAAATCTGTTGATAAACACTAATAAAACATATGTATCTATCTATAGAGACGATAGAAGTTGGCCGAAATTGCGTTTAATGCATCGTCGACACTTGGCCTAGCACATTTTGGGACTAACATACGGTCATTTTTATTTATTTGAAAACTACCTGCAAAGGAGTTTTCTTTCTAAAGTGTGCCACCGATCTGTACACGGGGCCTCGGTGTTTCGTCCTGTTTTGTTCAGACTAGTACCTAGCTTATCCAATCATTAAATGATCCAATCAAACTAATCTCACACATTTGGACCTAAATAAATCTAAATTCATTATCTGGCAAGGTAGCAAATGTAACTTACGTAGACAATATCAGGCTCTTCTTCAGATGATGCACCTTCTTCACAGTATCCAAGTTTAGCTAGAGAGAGGAGTACGAGACTTGTTGCTATTAGGTACCACATCTCTTGATCTTAGATAAACTGAAATATACAAATATATATGTCCATAAAAGTATATCAAATTAATATAATTAATTTGCAAGTGCATTGCAAATAACATAAACGGAGGAAATCACTGAGAAAAAGTCCAGCCGAGCAAGTTTTAAAAAATCCATTGTGAACTCTGTACTAAGCTTTATCGGAAAGAAAGTTAGGTTGACAGGCAACGAAACATGCGCCCACAGCAACTAAGTCGTCCAAGCAGTCAACTGGAGTTGTCGCATATTTTTTTCTATTGTCGGTAATGAAACATTTATAATACACTAAAATTTGATTAAGAGTAACAACTCATTAAGTAATTATCAGAGAATCATTAGGATTTGTTTGGCTTTTAGTTCTGTCCCATGCTAACGTTTAGTATACGAAACATTTAATGTCATGGATTTAGTTGTTTAAATTTAAAGTCAATCGGACGGGGATGACGACAATATACGACCACATTTCAATGTTGGCGTATAAAAATTCCTCTGTGGTGACATTAGCTCTGAACGTAACTTAAGACATCACTCTGAAATCTGTGGTCAAAAACCTTTGAATTTCGATCGAGTTCTCCTTTACCACCAAATGGGCAATCATTAATAATTTTAAAAAAACACGGCCATAGGCGTACGGGTTCGATGACTGTTAGGGGTTGGGGCAAAACCCGAAATGCCGAAAAAATTTCGGATCACAGACGGCGGCGCCGATCTTCGGCGAGAGGCGAAGTAGCGGAACTTACCGTGGAGGGACAACTCCAAGAAAATTTGGAAAATTTGACGGCCACAAACATATATTTTTCTTCTATTCAAGTCCGTGAATACAGCGACTTCAAAGTGCTCTAATATTTGCCTATTTTAGGTGGCTGACTCGAATTTCAGTCAACTAAACAATTCCTTACAGTCCACGCAGACGGAACCATTTGGAGAAAATTTAACTGTTATTCCAGCCAGCCTGTGAATACAGCAACTCCAATGTGGTCCAATAATATAGCCTACCTTAAGTGGCTGAGCAGAATTTTGAAATTTTACCCCAACACCCCCCCCCCCCCCCGCAAATGCGTTTTTTAGTTTTTAAAGCCAATGAGTTAAGCAACTTCGAAATTGTCCAATTGTTTTGTAAGCGAAATCCAACTCTATGCCGACCTGAATTCCAACCACCCAAACTGGCAGTTGCAGATGCATTCACAAATAATAATCAATGCCCGAAAATGTAGCACAAAGTAGTGTCACTCCAGACAAAATGAAAAGGGCGGGTGTAGGTGACGACAAAAAGCGATACTATTTTCCACTCTGAGTAATTGCAAATTTTGTTACAGCTTATGTATTGTTTTAACAATATAATGGAATATCCCTGACGCCCACTTCAACTATTTGACAAAGAAGCTATCATTAATTGTTCGAATTTTGTTAAATCAACAATCATCCCCAGGTCATACGTAAAACAAAGATAGGTTGCCAGACAACGAAACATACGCCCACAGCAGCCAAATCGTCCGGGCGGTCGACAAGGTTTGACTCATATTTATTCTTTTATGGGTAATTGGAAGCATTTACAAGACAATTTCATACAGATCAGATTATAATTTTTGTCATTTGAGGGTTCACAAGGATCTACAAACTGAAACAAGGGCCTTAACTCTGGAAGTAATTTACAGAAAATTTTGAAATTTGACAGAATCTTTCGTTTTACTAATTTAAATAATGCATATAAATTTCATACAGATCGGATGATAACGTTTGTCATTCGAGCGTTCACAAGGTTCACAAAGTAAAACAAGGGTCATAACTCTAGAAATAATTGACGGAAATTGCTGAAATTCAACAGACCTTCGTTTCACAAATTTAAATGATGCATATAAATTTCATACATATCGGATGATAACTTTCATCTTTCGAGCATTAACAAGGTTGAACAAAGTAATTATTGTAAATTGCTGAAATTCAATAGGTTTTGCGGTTTCGCTAATCTGAATGATGCATATAAATTTCATACAGATCGGTAGATAACTTTTGATGTTAGACCATTCACAAGGAGCAACAAAGTGAAACAGGGCCATAACTCTAGAAGTAATAAACGGAAATTGCTGAAATTCAATAGGATTCTTCTTTTTACTAATTTAAATGACACATATAAATTTCATACAGATCGGCAGATAACTTTAGATGTTAGAGGGTTCACAAGGTACAACAACGTGAAACAAGGGCAATAACTCTAGAATTAATTAAGCGAATTGCTAAAATGCAAATAAATTTCACAAAGATCGGATGATAACTTTTGGCGTTAGAGCGTTCACATGGTTCAATAAAGTGAAACAAGGGCCATAACTCTAGACGTAATAAACGGAAATTGCTGAAATGCAATAGGCTTCTTCGTTTCAGTAATTTTAAAAATGCATATAAATTTCACAAAGATCGGATGATAACTTTTGGCGTTAGAGCATTCACAAGGTTCAACAAAGTGAAACAAGAACCATAACTCTAGATGTAATAAACGGAAATTATTGAAATTAAATAGGCTTCTTCATCTCACTTATGTGAAACAAGAGCCATAACTCTAGATGTAATAAACGGAAATTATTGAAATTAACTAATGTCAACAACATATATCAATTTTTAAAAAATCGGATGATAACGTTTGGTGTTAGAGCGTTCACAAGAAATTGTGGACGACGGACAGGTGGGCGGATCGACGGACCGACGAACGGACGGCCGGGGGCAACGGCAATATACGTCCACATTTCCATATGGGCGTATAAAAACAATCGTTTGCTGCAGAGGGTAGAAGTTCCTTCACAATTATTTTAATTATTTTGTTTTCCAGGTTGAAAAAGTCACCGATGTGAAATCGGTCTACGGTCAGAACATCTGCTAAACGTTCGCAGGCATTTAGCAGAATGAGAAATCCAAATATACTAATCAAAGTTTCTACCAGATAATTGTTTTTGAACGTATGATTAGATTGATTATAGGGCAGACTGCGTTTGAGTCTGTATATGAATTCTATCGTAAGCGGGTAATACAATTATTCATGAAAAACCAACGCATTTGACGTTATTTTCCATCACAATTGTATTTCAATACTGGCACAATTAAGACCGGGCTTTGGAATTCATGGCATTTTGGAAAATATAAAATCTGACGCGTGTGAAAATGCCAATTACTTTTGTGCGGTTCCGTTATATTTTAATGAGTAAACGTGTTGATCTTACGAAAAATCGCTTAGTGTAACTAACCTTTTAACTGCCAAATATAAATCTAAAAAACCTGCGAGATTTATTTACACGTCGTTCAAATAGTGATTGCCAGGCAACGAAATATACACATAAAGTATCAGAAATTGTTAAAACTCAATAAGTTTCTTTGTTTTACTAATTTGTGAACATTACAAAGCATTTCAAGCAGATTGTTGCTGTTGTCGTTAGAGCGATCTACAAAATGATCAAGGGCAATAACTCTTGAAGTTATTATCGGAATAAATGTAATTCAATAGTATTATTCGTGTGATTGATGTAATATGCTAATATACATTTTAAGATCAGAAATGCAGCCTGTAGAAATTGTGGACGAGAAACGGTAAAATAAGATGGCATTCCCATGTGGGCGTTAAGTGCCATCTTTATAAGTTAATATGACAATGAAAATCTACGCCTCATTTGCATATGATAATGTGATCTGCGGAAGACTATCTTAGATTTACAGAATTGATAAAAAAAATAAATTCATATTAAATCATTTGCAAAGATTTCATGTCTAAAATGAATTTTCATTTATTTCCAAATGCAATACAAACATGGCAATACCATAACTAAATCAATAGTAAAAGTCTTTCAAAATTAAACGATATGCATTAACAATTTTTGATCTAGAAACGACGCTATAATATACACTTCCGCTACATAATGATTAGCAGCCATATATAATTATTGGCAGTTAATAATTAGTTGCAATACACATTATTTACAAAATGAGAGAGAGAGAGAAACCGCAGGACCCAGAGAAAACCCACGAGGTTGGACAGGCGACCCTACTCCTTGTCACGTACAACCGGGGAATCGAAACCCCACCAATGACAGACCTTATGATACAGCGCGCACGTGCTAACCATTCGGTCATCTAACACTCCCTATTTACAAAATGTGTAGTTATATGGTCTCTGCGACCATGTTATGTCTTTAACTGATTATTGGTTTCACATAATGTAGAGAAGTCATATCTCACGCACTCAAATTGAATGAGTGGTGGGTTTATAAATAAAAACGGTGATAATTTGGTAAAAACACTTGTTATGTCCTTTCCATTGTCGAAATGTCCATCAAATTCTTTCGTGTTTATGAAATGTGTCTGGTGGATCAAATAAGGTAATGTCCCTATCTCCACCGGTCTTCGGGGTATGGGGGATGTTTATTCCATATTTGGGAAGTTAGCACCAAGGTCAGTTTTCGACGTAAAGCAATTAGGGCGTAAGCAGATATAAAACAGCGTGTTGGGCAAAATTCATTAGAGCCCACCTAGTCTGTCAGAGCAGCCATCAAAAGACATAATATACACTTTATTAAGAACAGAACGAAGAGAGAGAGAGAGAGAGAGAGAGAGAGAGAGAGAGAGAGATATGGGGTTTAACGTCCACTCGACACAGACTAGGTTATTTCGGGACTAACATTTGATTTAATTTTATTTCAATAATTCGCTAAAGACCGGGAGGAAACCTGAGGACCCGGAGAAAACCCACGAGGTTGGACAAGCAACCTACTCCTTGTCACGTACAACCGGGGATTCGAAACCACGCCAGTTGACTCAATGACAAGCCTTATGATACAGCGCGCACGTGCTAACCATTCGACCATCCAACCCCAAGAACGAGGAAGGCTTGTACCAATCTGTTTAAGGAATAAAGCTGTATAAAGCACTTAAACTGTAGTTGTAATTTGGGTCACGGAGAGAAAACAACAACGAAGCCCATTAATACTACAAATGCCATGTTCCTTTAAAAAGCCATGTCCAACT